TAATTATCGGCAGTTCGCTTCTCGTGATGTACTGGCCCGCCTGATCATGTCCAGGTTCCAACCGGCACAGATTTGGTGCGCACTTGAAAGATAGTCTGGGCAATCTCTCTCTCTCTCTCTCTCTCTCTCTCTCTCTCTCTCTCACACACACACACACACACACACACACACACACACACACACACAGGGACAGGATGTCTGTTGAATTAGCACCCGGCATGCAGTCGGGCCACCAGTCGGAGTCCGTGTCATTCTCTCTCTCTCTCTCTCTCTCTCTCACACACACACACACACACACACACACACACACACAGGCACAGGATGTCTGTTGAATTGGCTGAAGAGGCAGCTTGTCTGCTGAATCATGCTTCCAAATGCAATGAAGTCAATGTCGAGCAAGTCCAAGAGGTGAAATGCAAGTACCATGGGTTGGTTTTTCTATCCAGCAGGTCGGTGGGAACCCTGGTGAAATGCAAGTACCATGAACTGACCGGCCCCAGGCAATTTCAGAAATATATTAACTGATTGATTAACTGTTGATTAAATGATTGATTGATTGATTTATTACTTGATTAATTGATTGATTGATTGATTGATTACCTGATTAATTAACTGTTGATTAAATGATTGATTTATTAATTGATTAATTGATTAATTGATTGATTGATTGATTGATTGATTGATTGACTGATTCCATTGTGTGATTGATTACTGTAATTGACCATTCCAATTTTTTCTGAAACCGAGCTTGCCTTGATTCGACTGATTAATTGATTGGCTTGATTTGACTGATTGATTGATTGCCTTGACCTGATTGATTGATTGATTGATTGATTAATTGATTGATTGATTGATTGGTTGATTGATTGATTAAATGCTTATGCGATCTGCTCACATTGATAGACGGACTCCCTCAGGGAAACCGAAAAAAAAAAAAAAAACGGCGCAGTTATAGCACGTGATTGAATCACGCAATCACGGGGTCGGATTGGGATACCGTCGATGTACTTTATCGATGGCATCCRAAATTTCTTGCGAGAGAGGAGCCACATGAAGAGAGGATAAGATCTCCTGCAGCTGCCACGTGGCCGATGCACCTACAATGGCACTGCTGACGAGAGGATTGCCCAATACGAAGCCTATTGCCAGCTGCACCGGTGTCAATCCAAACCGATTAGCWATATCCAYGTAAGCCAACACAGCCTCTCGAACATTAACCTTCTCCAATCCATAGCGACACTCTGCCTCCGCATACCTACCCCTATACTTATTCAGACGAGCATTGGACAGATCTCCTCCTCCTCCTCCTCCTCCTCCTCCTCCTCCTAGACTTCGTTCTGGATAATAATACTTGCCAGTCAAGAGACCCATAGCTAAGGGGCTGTAAGCAAGAAGACCAACCTTTTCCACGTGGCAAATCTCAGCCAAGTTGCTGTCGAACGTACGACACGTCAGACTGTAAGCGTTCTGAATCGAGACAATACGTGGAAGTTTCGTCTGAAGTTTCCTTTTCCACGTGTTATCGACGCATTCATCAGACTTGGATTCCACGCCGTCGGGACCGGGATGACCATGATGATGACACGTGTCGTCGTCATCATCATCATCATCATCAGCATCATCATCATCATCATCAGCAGCAGCAGCAGCAGCAGCAGCAGCAGCAGAAGAAGAAGAAGAAGAAGAAGAAGAAGAAGAAGAAGCAGATCTGGTCTTCGTCTGAGAATGCTTCTCGGAGTGACACGTGGCATCTGACAGAGAACAGAAGCGCATCACTCCCCAGGCTGTCTCGTTGCTTAAGCCTATGTATCTGACCTTGCCTGATTGGATTAATAGCCCTAATGCCTCCAGCTGCTCCTCGATCTCAACGGCTTTATAGGAATAAGAGGGAACGTAATCAACATCTCCGAACATAGGCACGTACCTATCAGGCCAATGAAGCTGACATAGATCTATATAATCGGTCCTCAAGCGCCGAAGACTCCCCTCAACGGCCTCGATGATGGCGGCACGATCAACACAAGGAGGGCCCCCGCGTATCCACGTCATCTGTCCCGACGGGCCAGTGACTTTGGTGGCCAGCACGACGGTATCCCGAATCTTCCTGGAGCTAGCCATCCATCGTCCGATGAACTCCTCAGACCGACCTTGCGTCTCCGCTCTCTGAGGCACCGGGTACATCTCCGCGGTGTCTAGCAGAGTGATGCCTGCTTCGGATGCCACGTGGAGCAGCCTGCAGGAATCTTCGTAGTCATTTCCCTCGCCGAAAGTCATTGTACCTAGACCTATTCTGCTTACCACTAGATCGGAATTAGGCAACGTGTCGTATTCCATCCTTGCCGCCGCCGCCGCCGCCGCCGCCGTCGGAGTTCTTCTCGCGCTCGCGCTCGGGACTGCCATCCTCGTCATCATCGGTGGACGCTGCGCGCCAATGGAATCCATAGCTCCTCCTGACGGCGGGTGAGAATCAGCGCCGAGACGACCTGCCGTCGCCGCCATAGCCGCACCTGATTGCTTCGTCTCCATCTTCGCCTCCTCCCTTTCCGCACTCTCAGAACCGCACACTCTAGAAAAAGCAGCAGCAGCAGCAGCAGCAGCAGCAGAAGAAGAAGAAGAAGAAGAAGATAGAGGACTACGACCGCAAGAGACACGAACATAGGAGGAAGAGTTATTGGTAAAAGAAGAAGAAGGAAAAGAAGAAGAACAAGGAGAAGAGGAGGAGGAGGCGGAGGAAGAAGAGGGAGAAGGAGAACTTTGAGGGCTCAAAGAAGCAAGAATAGAAGAGCAAGAGGTACTGTGAGTAATGGTCGAAGTGAGAGGAAAGCGGTAATTGCGCCGTCTGAAAGGGTAGAAGGTTTGGTTATTGTTGCTACAATTATATCGATTAGTCATCCTAACAGCAGCAACAGTTGGTAGCGTAGAACAAGTGCTAGTCCTCAAGGAGAAGGAAGAAGGGCGTATCGACATCGCTGACGATGAACAGCAGCGTGTCATCACCGACAATGAAGAACAAGCCGCCATCGCCGATGCCATATCGAAATGAACAATGTCCACAAATATGCTATAACAGTGGTAAGGAGAGAGAGAGAGAGATAAGGAGAGGGAGAGAGAGAAG